AAATTAAACTAATGTATCCTATAGTTTACAAAAAGCACATTGGAAACATTTAAATATTCAGTTCACCCATCCATCATCATTTACTTGCCCTCATGTCATTCTAAAGTATTTGCCTTTACTTCTTTTCACTGGATTGCAATGGACAATGCTTTCAAGAATTGCATTACTTTTGATCTAATACAATACAATCTTCTTCGGCGCTCTGCAAACAAACCAAAAAACAATGAGAGAACGCTCACTATTCCTTTAAGAAATGATCTGGCAGCAATTCAGAGCCTGAAGCAATAAACAGCATGTCGATTCTGAGTATATGAGGAACTTGTTAACTTCCAGTAATACTACACAGAGTCTCTTCCAATAGCCCAGTTCGGCTCGATGCTGTACACAGTAGTGACTCACTAGTGAACCTTGTACTGTGGACGCCGATCGCTCAGAGTGTACACAAACATGCACTCTTGCCATCTAGGCGAGGACAGTAGGTCAAACTGCAAAGTGCATTGTGGGATGTGGAGTTTCGTGTCATGCAGCAGAGACCTGTGTGATCTTGTGTCTGAAACAGCAAACCCTTCAGAGCGGTGTGTGTGTAAACAGCGCGGTAAAGTTCTGCCATTGTGACGGGACGGTGGGGGGTCTCTCTGTGTTTCGAGCACCCCCTCAGCTCGGCATCTCCACCCCCTTTGGTTAATTCATCATGTAAATAGATCAGCAGGCCGGCCTGTGTTTGCTTTGCGTGGGGAGCACCCTCCCAATGTGTTAGACAAGAGGGAGAGGAGAAAATGTATAGCAGACAACCAGCTTTTAAAAAAGAACAGATCAGATCTGAGAGATTACCACTGTAAAAAATAATGATAATGTTGATTAACAGGTTCTATATTTCATGATTCACCTTTTTCTGTTTATTTATGGTTATGAATTGCATTATGGGACCTTTATATCTGCTTTTGAAGTTTCAACGGTGCAGTTTAAGTGATTTTTATTAACATTTTAAAAGTTTGCACTGCAAAAAATGCTGTTTGTACTTAAAATGTTTTTGTCTTGTTTCTCAATAGCTAAATATCTAAAAATCATTAAATCAAGAAGAATTTTCTAGACATGCAAAACATTTTGTCTTGTTTTCAGAAATAATATGCCAATTTTAAGCAAGTTTTTTTCCTTAAAACAAGTAAAATAGGGAAAGCAAGATTATTTCGCTTACACCATTGGATGATTATTTAGCTTGTTTTAAGGAAAAACTCACTTAATATTAAGATATTTCTGAAAACAAGACATTATGTTTTGCTAGCCTAGAAAATGCTTTTTAATTTAAGAATTTTTAGATATTTGGACAGGAAACAAGACAAAAAAATCTAAGTGAAAAAACATTTTTGTAATGTGAAACAATATATTGTTTTAAAAATAATATAAAAATGATTTAAATAATATAATAAATATACAAAAGATAATAAATATAATTAAAAGGATTTTGAAAACAGAAAAACTATAGGCAGTTTATTATCAGGTTTTAATTGAATTGTGGGACACTGATCTTTTCTCCAACAACTTTTGATGTTGACATTTTTGAAAAAGTGACTTTTATTGATATTTTTAATAGTTAGAATTTATAAATTGCATTGTCTGGGTTGGTGTTGTAGATTACAGAACAAAAACCTTGTACAAAAACAATCCAATTTATAAATTCAAACTATTAAAAATATCAATAAAAGTCACTTTAAAAAAAAAACATTTTAACATCAAACGTTGTTGGAGAAAAGATCAGTGTCCCACAATACAATTACAAACAAATGGAAAAACATTTACATTTACATTTAGTCATTTAGCAGACGCTTTTATCCAAAGCGACTTATAAATGAGGACAAGGAAGCAATTTACACGACTATAAGAGCAACAATGAATAAGTGCTGTAGGCAAGTTTCAGGTATGAAAAGAGTAAGAAGCAAAACATTAGTATTTTTTCTGTAATACAGTTAGTGGTGGAGCCAGAGTGGCAATTGCAGGTTAGGAAGGAAAGTGGAGACTAAATAGTTGAGTTTTAAGTCGTTTCTTGAAGAAAGTGAATTCAAAAAACATGAATGACAGAAAACTGTTGATTTACAAATATTTGTTCAAAGTATAAGGTTACTGAAACTGCAGGAATATCTGTTTAACATGAAAAATGGAATGAGAAATAAAAAACAAAATGTATGAAATGCAATAGTCAATAGTCAAAGAAAGTTTGTGCTCTTTTTCTGTATAATGTTTAAAAAGTAAACAGATATTTGCTGTTGAATGTCAGAAATGACTAAAAGCATTACAAAAATACTAATATGATTATTCACATCAACATATGGATTTCTATTTCATTCTATGGATTTTTGCAGTTTTATAATACCTGCCCATGTTCTGTTACTGTGTGCAAAAGAGCAGCAGGAACATTTTCATAATGTGTTTCCCTAAATGAAGTTTTCAAAGATGTTAACTAGATGAGGGGTGGGTGAACATGAACAAAGTTGGCTGTTTTAAAAGAGCTAATTGTTTACTATTTTAATACAAAACTGCAACACGGTGGCACAGTGGATAGTGCTCTCGCCACACAGCAAGAAGGTCACTGGTTCGAGCCTCAAGTTGGCATTTTTGAGTGGAGTTTGCATGTTCTCCCCGCATTCCCGTGGGTTTCCCCCATAGTCCAAAGACATGTGGTACAGGTGAATTGGGTAGGCTAAATTGTCCATAGTGTATGTGTGTGAGTGAGAATGTATGGATGTTCTCAGTGATGGGTTGCGGAAGGGCATCCGCTGTGTGAAACATGTGCTGGATAAGTTGGCGGTTGATTCCGCTGTGGCGACCCCAGATTAATAAAGGGACTAAGCCAAAAAAAAAAAAATGAATGAATGAATGATGTAATAAAAAACTTATTGCAACTTTTGAATGGTGATATTTCCATTTTGTTCACAGAAAGCATATGACGCAGCACAACTGTGATAACATTTCGAATAATAAGAAATGTTTCTTGAGCAGCAAACACATAAATATTTTAATACACGTTTTGGTTTTACTTGGATGAAAGTTTTTTTTATCCACATCAATTGTTGACAAGTGTATATTCAGCTATTTTAAACTGAATAATATTTCACAATATTATTATGTATAATAGCTGTAAAATATGCATTTATAGCTATGGAAACCACATATATAAGCGACCACGTGAAAATTCTCAGTTTCTCTGGATTTACAACTTATGTGTTTGAGTAAGAAGTAATTTTAGTATTATTCTGTAAACAAATGAATACATTCCTTAAAATTTGAAGAAAGTGTTGTCACTTGAAGCAGTTTTTGGATAAAACATGAGGACAAGGTGCCCTGTTTTCAGACATGTTTTACTGAATCTATTTTGGTTTGGTTGTTCTGACCATGGGTCTGGATTACTCAATAAGCTGGATTTGGTTATTGACGATTTGACATGATCCAGGATTGTTTCGTTCGTCAAATCTGATCCGAGAGTTGTTGTCATAGCAACAGTTCTGGTTACTCAAACCTGCTAGGGAGCAGGTTCATTTCTTATAAACAGGATTAGATGGTCAGTTCAAGCAAGGATAATACTGTACCTTATTCTGATATTTTCTTACAGTAGTAGATATACAAACTTGGGAAAATACTAAATATAATTTTTAACTATATATATATATAGTTTATATAAAGTTATATATAAAGTTTAAAAAATATAAAAATAAAAATTATACAATCTGCACTGCGAAACAAAAGTACAAAGACTGCCACCTGATGGTTCAAAGAGAAAAATTATTGATATAAAATGTATAGATCGCTTTGTGTATGATAAATAATAGACATGCACAATATGTGATTTTTTTTTAAAAGCAATAATACATTTATGCAGTCATGAACATGTTTTGACGGCTAATATGACGGTGATTCGATGCTTGACAAAAGTTGCAGACACCTTTACCAATATCAAAATGCTTTTGTAAACATCCAGTTATCATTTACACCGATTAAGAAACTGGCTACTATGATACTACTATGGCTACTATAATAAAGAAAATCCGCTCTAACTGTAAAACTAAATAAATTGCTAAATACTCCCGACACATGAAGGGGTAAAGCATGCAGCCCACAACAAATGTGTAAAGTTATTGCGTATCATATAAACAAACTGTTTTCTACAAATTTTATGTAATTTTGCTCACATGCATAATTGAATATTAAGCAGATGATGTCATTACGCTGCTGTGCCGTCAGCCAATCGTTGCATTGCTGATCATGATTTCGAGGATCGATAGATCAGTCTTTCACAACACACGCAGCGATCTCAGATCAGTTCATCCAGACATTTTAATCTGATTCACGAACTTGTTTGAAGAGCCAAATTAGCCAGAGATCAGTTATCAAGATTAAAACATCCAGGATCTGCCAAATCATTTTAGATCATTTAAGCGAGGTACGAAGAACGGATCCCAGTTGTCATTTTCAAACAAGACAATATTGTCATTTGAAATTACTGGGGAATGTTATCAGACCTCTGTATGAAAACGAAAAATTATTTACTCAACCCACACCTTATACTGTAAGTCCAGTACATCAAGAGAAACTGAGCATTTTCAAGTGGTCATTCAGAGAGGTAAAGTTCACCCAAAAACGAAAATTGTCATAGTTTTCTTACACTTCACTTTTTCAAAACCTATTGGAGTTTCTTTCTTCTTTTGAACACAAGAGAAGATATTTTAAAGAATGCTGGCATGCATTGATCTCAATAGTTTTTTTTTTTTTTACATATTATGGAAGTCAATGTGTGCCAGCAACCAGCATACTTTCAAAATATCTTCTTCTGTGTTTAACAGAAGAAAGAAACTCAAAGTATAAAAGCAAATGAGAGAGACTAAATGATGAGCTAATTTAAATCTTTGGGTGAACTATCCCTTTAATTCCTTTCCATAGCATTACAGGTCAAAAAACACACCAAAACCACATTAAACCAGCCATAGAGCAGTTCAGAATCATGCATTCACCTTTGAGCTTTCTCGTTGGCCTCTCTCTCTCTGTCCTGGGCCAGACACAGTTGCGTTTGAGCGTTCTGGTGTTCAGATGTCAGCTGCTGCAGGCGGTACAGAAGCGGCTGAATCTCAGTCTGGCTTTGGTTGAAGGTAGAAGAACTATCTGGACTGCTCTCATCAGCCTGATGCTGCAGCACACTGAAAACACACAGAAAACAAGGAGTCTTAAAGGGGATCTATTACTATAATATGTAAAACACGTCTCTGATGTCTCTACAGTATGTATGTGAAGTTTCAGTTAAAAAACAACACAAACAAATTTTTATAACTCCTTGAAACTGCCCATTTTAGGCTTTGATCTATGATAATTTAGGTGACTGCAGCTTTACATTTAAATGTAATTGTGCTCCCAGTTCTTTCATCAAAAGAAGGCAGAGCTATAAACGTCTTCATAGCGGCAGATTTCAAAAAAAGACTAAAGTTATCTCTGTGAAAAATTGAAAATCTCAAAAGAAGTGGTTCACATAAAAGTATGAAGACTGTTCATTTGGGCATCCTGAAACTCACCATTTGGAAACACTTTATTTTGATGGTCCATTTGACTAATAGTAGACTGTCTTCTTAATATCTCTTGATACTGCTCCATCAACAGACATTTAACTGACTATAAGAAACTTTGCAAGTACATGTTAACTTACACAACTAAGAATTAGTTGGCATGTAGATGCAATGTAATATAATTCAACAAACCGACAATCAAAATAAAGTGTGACCCAACATTTGTAATACTTTATATTTACTGACATTATCTTTGACAGGTATGGTGCGAAATTTCTATTAGAGGATGGCTACTTCTCACTCAGGTCCGATCATCCCTAACGGATGGGACAAAGGGAGAATGTGAATCAAAGTGTTTTATCAAGTGTTATTATCATTCATTCATTCATTTCTTGTCGGCTTAGTCCCTTTATTAATCTAGGGTCGACACAGTGGAACGAACCACCAACTTATCAATCATATGTTTTACGCAGTAGATGCCCTTCCAGCTGCAACCCATCACTGGGAAACACCCATACACACTCATTCAAACACATACATACTGACAATTTTGCATACCCAGTTAAATTTTGAATATTTAAAATATTTAAACCAGAAGAAAAGCTGAAAGAGTAGTCAGGGTTGTGTTTAAAAAACAATTGTATATATGAGCAATATCACAGCAAGCGTGCCTTAGTGTCCCACCAGTGCCAATGCACAGTCACATTGAACTGCTACTCGTGTGACATCAATCAATCAATCAATCAATCAATCAATCAATCAATCAATGGCCTTTATTTGTCACATATACATATACTTCCCCCTCGTTGCGTTTATACAACAGTTCAACGGCATATAAAAAAGAAAAATCAAACATGGAGAATTTAAAAAACCTTTTGTATGAAGAATTACTTTCTTCCGCCATTCATTCACATCTACAGCTGCTCATGAAATGCCATCAGTCTACAGTGATTTCCCAGTATTTCTCTGTTGCAATCGGGATATCACAATAATTAACCCCGAAAATGCCAAAGCAGAGCAATCACTAGCGGATTACTGTTGTGCTGGTGATAAGAAAAAACGTTAACGTGGGCATTTTTCTTTCTTTTTACTGAACTAGTCTGCAGTAACAAAAACAGGAGACACATTAGAAAAATATATAGTATTTAATTAACAAGCAAGATAAATATATTTAAATAAGATGAAAATGAAAGAGCTAAGGACTGAAACCAGCTCAAATGGTCATGAATAAAACATGTTAAAGTGATGTACACATGTACAAATATGTCATGTCCGAAAAAGCCTTTATCAGAGGTGTTTTGACAGTTTAGAGCCACCGTACAAGCCAACAGTTAAATACAGATGCGGCACAGATTCATCCTTTTTGGCGTTTTGACATGTCACATGTAGGTGTTGCTTGTCAATCAGACACTTCTGTGCTCGTTCTTGCCGTCAATTGCGGGAAAATGATATTTAAAAAGTTTATGATAAACCACTGAGAGTTTTACTCAATTGTAGAGGCAGAGTTGTCATCAGAGTCAGATTTTGATACAAAACCTGCATTGAGCTGACTATATGACAAACACAGAGCAAAATATAAAGACAGAATGAGCGGCTAGTTAAGAGCCCCTTTGACTGGATTCACCTCTCGCCTCTCCCCCGTGCTACAGTGTGTGTGTGTGCGGTGACAGCTCGCGAGCTCGTTATAGTCAATGTGAATATTTCGATCAAACTGAATAAAATCTCACATCAACAACACATGACCAGCAACGCGTTGATAATAGCAAATACTCAGATTACAAGCAACCGTTATGTTTACACGTGTTGTAAAATGTGCGGGTCCTTCAACGGGACTGGGCTGTATATGTATATGTGTGTATGTTTGTATATATATATATATATATATATATATATATATATATATATATATATATAGGGCATAATATACAGCACCACAACATACATATACAGCAAACACAACATACATATACACACAAAATCAGCCGTAGAAATAACTTTTTCTTCTCTTAGGGATTATTATGTGGTCTCTGTTGCCATCTTGTAGATGGACAATGTCAACCATCTATGCTCAACTCACTGACAGGTTGATCATAGGCTGTAATTATAAATGTTTTAAATCGGCACTATCCTCATAAATAAACAACATAGTTGCAATCTAAACAACTACACTCTTGCCTAAAAATCCTCAAAAGTACATCATGTTGTCCAACAGCTGCAATATTTGTCAAAGTGTAGTGAGTTTATTGATCTGCTGTCACTCTATGTGGACAGAGTAATACACAAGAGTGAAGAGGCTGTATGAGTTCTGATATTGCAGAACCAGACAGAACTGGTGTATCAGAACCATCCGTTCGTTCGTCCGTCCGTCCGTCCTTCCATCCATCCATCCATCCATCCATCCATCCATCCATCCATCCATCCATCCATCCATCCATCCATCCATCCATCCATCTATCTATCTATCTATCTATCTATATATCTATCTATCTATCTATCTATCTATTCCATTTACTGTTCCTTCCATCCATCCATCCATCCATCCATCCATCCATCCATCCATCTATCTATCTATCTATCTATCTATCTATCTATCTATCTATCTATCTATCTATCTATCTATCTATCTATCTATCTATCTATCTATCTATCTATCTATCTATCTATCATCTATCTATCTATCTATCTATCTATCTATCTATCTATCTATCTATCTATCTATCTATCTATCTATCATCTATCTATCTATCTATCTATCTATCTATCTATCTATCTATCTATCTATCTATCTATCTATCTATCCAACAATAATACTTCAATATAATTATAATATATCAATAATAATACTTCAGTATAATTATGGAGTATACATATGTTGTAAATGTTGTTAACCTGAATGAAAAAAATATTGCTGTTTCATAATAATATTTAAATTTGAAAACATTTTTATTGCCTCATTACAAGACAAAATGGTTTATTTACTATATAAGCAGAATTATGAACAACTATATATAACAATGTACATGCCAAGCTTAATAAACAACATACTTTCAAATCCTTTATCAACATTTTATTAACAAAGCAAACAGCCTTACATGTGCGGTGCGGGGGCAGAATAGCTGATTTGACTGTTTAAGAATTAAATAATATTAACTAATATTAACTGGATTTATGACTGTTTACTTCCAAGTAATACAAATCCAAATGCGTATAACAACGAAAACAAATGGACATATCTTAGTTGTCCATCACAGACTTCAAAAGTTCTTTAGGAAAGACAATCATCAAAATTACAAGAACAATATAACGGCTGACTGGCGGTGTAGCATCAGGCTCGTGTTTCATAAATGCCAATGGTCAAATTTCTTACACAAACACGAAACTTGACCCAGACACACACACAGAGAGAGAGAGAGAGCATGCTTGCAGTTTACCTGGAGGTGGAGAATCATAACTCTATATCAACACTCACATCTAATATTCAAACGGAATGTCAGAACAAGAAACAATATCCGAGGCTAATAATTCCTCAGAATGTCAGTGGAATATATTAGCGCTGCATCTCGCTCGAGGTGAAATTCAGACAGGTGTTTTTCAACAAGGCGCAAAATAATGAGGGTCAAGGGTGGGAGTCGACCTGAACAGATCCATATCTGCAGATACACATCAGTCTGACTAACGAACAAGTGTAGATGATGCCAAAGAAACCCTTTTGTGAACTTCTATGAGCCAGTCAATGATGAGATGCCAATATTATGAACGTTAAAAAAACAAATCAGCTTCTCAGGAAAAGAGTTTTAAAGACTAAACATTTCTGATGAAAATGTGACGGTTCCTGCACAGTTGCACATGCCATTTACGTGAGAATTCATGCGGTTGAACTACAAAAAAAATATAATAATAAAATAATAATAACTGAATGATTGGATATTGTAACTGATGTTCAAAATATGGAGAGGATGAATTTTTCTTTACTACAAATGGACTAAAAATGGACAAATACCTGGAATATTGGGGAAAATAGATTACACTTTTTCCTTTAGAAAGTGTAAACTGACATTAATATGTATTTGTGAATGTATCCTGTAAGCAAATGTGTTACTGTATTTTTTTTTATTCGTATTTTGTACTCCTTTTTTCCCTCCTTTAATAATAATAAAAAATAAAATAAAAATAATAATAATAATAAAAGTGTCATTTATAAATGTGGCATAATCACAAAACTGGTGGATATGTGTGTATGCCATTTCCAAAATAACAGTTGTGACCTATAAATCTATAAAAAAATAAATATCTGACGAGTCAACTGTTCATTTAAGTTTTGATGTGTTTTTGTATTTTTTTAATTCATATTTTTCTCTTCTTCTTTTTTTACCCTCCTTAAATAATAATAATAATAGCAATATTAATATAACAACAACAACAATAATAATAATTATTATTATTATAATTATTAATATTAATAATAACAACAACAACAACAACAATAATAATAATTATTATTAATATTATTATTAATATTATTATCATAACAATAATAACAATTATAATTATATTATTAATATTAACATTAATGTTAATAATAATAATATTAATAATAATAATAAAGTAAAATTAATAAGAATTAATAATAAATAAGTGTC